CTTGTTACAGATAATGCATTTATAAGTATCATTAAGAACGTTACATTTAGAAACAGATCGCACTGAATCAACGTTGGCAATCTGCGGATAAATATCTGCGAAGAACGAGATAAAAAAAAGTTCTTTCTTCTTGAATTATATGTACCCGCCCACCCGGGATCTGTTCTTGCAAAAATAATAAAAAAAAAAGAAAGAGTAAACTGTTGTAAGAATCTCGAGATTTCCCGACACAGTGCCCGAAGTCGTTTGCGACCTCGGCAAATAAAATGCGCACGTGCAAGATGTCGTCAAGGCCATTGGTATTTACGCGCAGTGCGACATGCGATTATATGTATATATATATATCCCCCTCTCTTTCTTTCGCGCGCCCGCACGCAGACTCGATAACACCGAGACGGTGTTACGTAATTGCGCGTTTCGGCGCGGGTTTGTTTGACCGCCCGTCTGCGTGAAAAATATTCGAGACTTTTGCGTCGCACGCGAAATTATACTCCTCCCGAAATAGCCGGCCAATTATCGGTTCGCGAAAACGCAATGACCTTGACGTTAATCTACCATCAATATGCGGAGCTACGTCCGACAGATCGTTAGTCAAAAATCTTCAACTCTCCGTCTGTATACGTTTTTTTTTTGCACCGTGGAGTGTATACGTGGACCGATCACGTTTGACCTCAAAGTATTTAGAAAAATCGGAAAAAATTCACAAAATTCACATCTGTCTACCTTGTAATTGACGATTTTATAGTCATTTTGATAATCATTGTTTATTTAATGTTTTCTGGCAGGCTTGCAAGTTTTACAATTACGAGCAGATATTATTTTGGCTCGAACGCCGTAGACCCACGTATACAGACGGAGGGATAAATATTATGTAAATATAGAAATATTTCTATATTGAGATCTTATATTTTATTATATTTTATTATTTTTTTTTATTGTGCGTTATGTTTAATTATTATTTCTGATTCCGATTCCCCTAATATTTAATATTTATTCTTATTTCTAATATATATGCTCTATTGTGCGGAAGGCCTAAGTCCACAAAACGTAACATGTTTTCTCTTTTCTAATATTTTCTCCAATATTTCGTCACGTTAATCTTCTTAATTATTGCTCGCAGAAAAGCGGTAAAAACCCTGATTTTTATCTCCCGGAGGAAGACAATGAGCAAAAGTTGAACAATATGTACTGAAAAGAAGATTCCATTTCTCTCAAGGAGAAAGTTATTTATTAAATTGACGAAGGTAAAACGAATGTGACTCAAATGACACCCAGTTGACCCAGTGCCACGTCTTGAAGGGTTAATCTTATTAAAGCTGAAGTTCAGATCGCCGGACTCGGCATTGAACGCGATATACTGAATGCGGGCTCTACTTATTGCGTTTTTAGCGAACGACAGAAGGATAACTTATCGCGTTTGTGTTTATATTTCTTCGTACGCGCGTCACTTCGATCATGAGGTGGAGTAAAGAGAAGACGAGCCGCGAAGTAAATATATCCGCTACGCAAAAAAAAAAAATGCGGAATAAAGTTACACTGGATGTTCCATCACTTCCTTCGGCCTGCGAATTCGAGGTTTTTTCCACGATAATTTCGAGTGACGAATAATACTATTTTTAATTACTAACCGCTACTGATTGACAATTACAGTTTATATCAGACAATATTCCAAATGGACTTTAACAAAACCTTACACTCTTGAGGTTTAATAAATTAAGTCATCTGATAAAAAAAAAAAAAAAAAAATCGCGTCATCAAATTTTCAGTACAGTCAGTTTGAACGATTTATCATTTTGATTTGAAAAATTGTCAGAGAAATCGGATAAGATTTTAAAATTCAAAGATGTATTGTCGGATCTCTTACCGATAACTCTGATCTATTTATCTTGCTTGATTTTGACAGAGTTCGATTGTTAACAATCAACATAACAATATTGTTCTTTTTCTTAAATACCTATAATGTATATTACGAAAACCGTAATTTAAACTATTCGCTGATACTTATATGTTAATATTTTGTAATAAATCGTTCTCTCCGAGAGAGCTGCTCGATTTACAAACATAACGAGAGCAGTCAATAAATATTACAATTAGATAAAGACATTCTGTAATAAATTACAAAAAAATACAGATGTACAACTTGAAGATATCGACAAAAATAATCGCCTTTCTAAACCCAGTTTCTAGATTTCTCGGAAAAAAAAAAAAAAAAAAACTGTCGTCTTCGACTTGAGTTGAAAATATCCAGACTCGAAAGACGTTAATCGTATGAATAAAAAATCTGGCTGAGACATAGATAATTCATGAGCCGCACGTGTGGCGATTCAGTTGGCTGCTTCTCTTTCTTTTTTCCTTTCAACATGATCGCAAACCAAGCTCGATGGCGAGATCGTCGGCGATTCCACCGATACAAAGCAGGTGAGCCAGGTCGCGTGCACTCAAATACCTCAAATACCGCTTTTGTTCTGCGCCCCGCAACGTTTCCTGGGGCGTTAAACCAAGGTCGAATTAATGCGTGCACGCGCGATACATGTCGAACGTCGCCCAATGCGTAATCGGTGACGCGTAATGTTTATCGCTCGTGTCACGCCAGCGCGGCGCGTAGAAAGTCACAGTGGTCTGAAAAACAAGGGTATATACACACACTGTACACAGCGCGAAAATGGCTAGACCTTCGAGATAACTTTAGCCGCGGTAAGCGAACTTCGAAAATCTCGCGTAACATCTCGACATGTAAACAATGATGGTCAATAGACAGCCGTTTCGCAGATGGACGTAGAACTGCTATAAAATTGTGATGAATTCCCTCTTTATTATTACTTTATTATTATAGATTAGCGAACGATTCTGTCAGATAGAAAAAAAGACGCTACTCGTATTACGTCGCACGTGTCATTGAAAGAGAATTTTGCGAAATGAATTCTATTCAAGTTTTTTCTTTAAGAAAGTTTTTTTAGAAAGACGAATTTACTTTGTCTCGTACTAAAGAAACGAAAATAGAGTTAACAAAGATAATGAAAGACTTTCGTGTTGTACGGAATAAAAACATACGTGCTCTACACAAATTCTAACGTCTTTCGATCTTCGTTTCGCGCGTATCTCCGTGCTTTCTGCGATTATGTTTGTTTTGGCATTTTCGCCGACCCTTGCACTCCTTTCAAGTTAGGTAGGTGTCAGTGTACAGAAATATACTTGTATAAATAGGCGGTGCGCTTTTCGTATAACCGTCTGGCCATTGTATCGTTCCTGCGTGTCATCGTTACCATGCCGCTACGAATTTTTCTTGAAAATCGGTTCATTGTCCTATTCTATTGTAGTCAATCTTGCATTTTTCCACGACTAAGAAAAAACAACTACAGCCAATGCCTGAAGCATTAAGATTCACTGAAATTTTATCGAAATCGGAAATGGCAAAATTATGATTACATCGAATTTGTGATAAAACCAACTTAACTTTGTCCAACAGTCGTTAATATATTGCCACCTTATCAGATAATTTTTAATCCTAAGAATTGTCGTTTCAGATTGTATGTACATAAAAATATAAATTAGGTTGTAATAGATAAGAAGTCCTTTACCAAGTTCTTTTTTTATCGCATATGTCTGTTTTGTCAATCGATTTAATAATTAAGAATATATAATGAAAATTTAACACATACTTGAGCAAAAAACTTCATTATAGTCGCAGATTCTATAGATAATTATATCTTCGAATTCTGTGTAGGTACTCGCATCGTATACGAACGTGCGTTCCTGATGAATTTGCGGAATTCTCCAATATCGCGAACGCCACCGCGAAACCCGCTGACCATACCGTCGGAATTACTGAAGGGTAACACACCGGCCATCACGAAGGATCCCGTCAAAAATAATAATAAAGGTCAGTTTGTTTCATATTTCTAAATCGATTCTCTTCATGTGACTCTTTCTCTTCCTAAGAAAAAGTATAGAGCGGACAAATAGTGCATTGTTCGAGAAATATTCTACATCAATGATGATAGCCTGGTTTATTCGCACGGTTAATGATGATACACAATATTAATTATATTAGAGAACTTTTCTCACGTTTGCATAACGTTACAGACTCCCTGGTGATCGAGGAATCCGCAGAGCAGTTCGAGATGGATATGTGAGGCAAATGCAATGTACCGCCGTTCGTGACGACTGAAATGTGTTCACAGCCACGCTCGAAAGTATTGTTGATCAAGTCTTATGACAATCGCACGGAGTATATGGCTGACACGCCTTAATTCTGTGCCTTTTTACCAGTGGTCTTATTAAGAATTATGAATCTTTGAAAGATTATATCCTTGACGAAAGGCCATATCTTATTCATATGTATTGTATACAAATCATTTAATTCTCGACGCTAGTTCTTTTGACCAATGTAATACGTATATTTGCATATAAAGAACGGCCGTGGATGTGAAGGTGCTTGTGTCTATGCGACATTAGCGATCTCTTATATTTTACATGTCTTCCTTTTTGAAGTGGCCAAATGCGATGTTTTGTAACGTATTTCGTAAGGAACTTGTATTTGTGAATAAATGATACATACGTTTTATACATATAAATTTTACTGTTATTATTTTGTACATTGTACAAGATATTCAAATACCATGTATAAAATGTGACTAAATGTAACTATATTCTTGAGCAAAAATATCTTATGATAGGTTGAGACCAATCAAGACGTATATATGGACATTACATAACAAATAAAAAATTTTGTATAATAAAATAAAACTTCATGTCTCTTGTTTTTAAGAAATTATATTAAATTTTATGCTTGTGCTTTTAATTCTAAATTGTCACAATTTTGTTTTGGAAAAAAATATCTGTACAAGTCTCCTGAAAAATTATAACTTTGCAGTCACAATACTTTTTAAATATCTTCAAAAGTTGCTAAAAAATAAGTCAAAATATAGAAATAAAGAGAAACGTTATTTACGAATAAAATAGTCATAATAGTTGAATACAATTTTTAAACTAGTGGATCAAAAAAGTATTTGCACACCCAATTTACTTACAATAACTTTATTCGAAGGAATAATACATAATAAGTAATTTATTACATACAGTATATGTATGTATGCCAAACTAGAGTCAAGCTCAACAGGGTCTTCTTTCCCCGCTAATTTTTCCAGGCCCGTTCCCTTGGCAGTGGTTTCGATAGATAGTAGACAGGGACAGTGGAAATCTCGTTAATCATCAGTTATTCATACTCAGTTAATCATACAGTATATGTAATAAGTTACTTGTAGACACAATTCGTAATTATGTATTATTCCTTCAAATAAAGTTATTTGTAAGAAAACTGTGTAAATACTTTTTCAAAAAACTCCACTGTATGCAATAATATTGGGTCATGTATGCTTTTATTAGCAAATTCAATCTAGTTATGCTAGAGACTGTCATACATAACAAAAATCTTTCTTTAGCAAGATAGATACTTGATATTTCATCAAACGCAGTGCTTATATTACATTAGATTGTTCTTGCATTATAAATGTAAAAATCAAGGTAAAAATATTATATAAATTCATATATAACAATCTTTATAATACGTAAATGCAGTATAAACTGTATAAATGATCGTATTTATTATTAATTATATTAAAATACTATCAAAATGAAAACGACAGGTATATATTTAATTATAAACGTTATCACAGGACACGTACATGTCGTTCAACTTCTCTCGACACTTACGCAGAATCTCTTATTTCAGATATCCTTTCTAAGATTATTGTCGCAACATTAACCTTGTCTCCCTTCGCGTCGTAATCGTTATAATAAATTAATTCACACAAATCTCTGGTATCTGGCTCGCTTTGCAAGGTGTCTCGCAGTTTTCTATAGAACATCTCGATAATCTTACGTTTGTATCGCTTGTATACGATAGATTCAGGATGATTGTGCTTCTGTACCTCGTAGTACGTTAACAAAGGCGTTGCACCTTCCGCCACCACGTACACCGGCTCATTTCCTGAACTTCTTCCACCGGGATATATCTTGTAAGCGTTGTTGCGGTACGTTCTGCGTATGTTACCGGCCCGGTTGCGTACCTCCTCCTCTAGCTCGCTGGCACTCTCCATCCACTGGGATGCCTCCTTCAAATCCGACGGGATGTATCCGGACGACGGTATCAAGATAAACAGCTTGTGTACCGGGAACGTCACGTTGTGATTGTCCTCAAAATTCTCAATTTTCTCAACTATACCCTTCGTGGAAGTTCCGGTGGACGGTAAGATCAGTCGCAGGTAGCCATAGTAAAAGCTGTACGCCATACCTGTGCCGTAATCCAGACCCTTCATGGCACTGAGGTCGGCCAGCGATCCCGTCTCCCACTCGGCCAGGTTGCACATCCTGAGCAGCCAGAAGGAGAACATTATCAGCGGCACACAGACGCAGGGTCCGAAGTCCCAGGCGTAGTTGAACGGACACGTGCCGATGCCGCCGATCAGGCCGAAGACCAGCAGCACGCCGACAACGACGACCATCGCCGACGGGGTGTTGAGGGTGAAATGATATTTCACCACCGACCAGAAGCTCTCCTCGGACTCCTGGCCCACGTCCGTGGTGAACGTGACCAGCGTCTGACACAGGCGCAGCGTCATGTCGCAGAGCAGGAGGATCACGAGGAAGACGGAGGCGACGAAGGAGGTCGCGACCACCGACACCACCGCCCGGTCCTTTGTCGCCCTGTACACGGCCGAGGCGAAGACGGCGACGAGAATGACGCTGTACGCCACGTAGGTCATCAACTTACGATCGTCCGACGAATACTTCTCGTTCTCCATCCTTGCCGGGCTCTGCCGTCGTTCATCCGAGTGATCCGAGTCAAATCCAATCGAGTTGCCAATTTGATCCGCTGGCAGTTCGATCCGGCGCGGGAAAGATCCACCGGGCGATAAGCTCCCGAGGAAACGTGTGGGGCACCGCTGCATCAAGTGACGTGCTTGCGTCAAATGGACACACCCGACACCCGTTGTCCTTCCGCGAAATCTATATATCCAAATACAACGCGAAAGGCGTTTAAAGGCTTGTCCAGATGGGCTTGTAATCGCGCGTAACGTGCCGCGACGAAGCTGACCAATCGCGCGTCCAACGACACATTGCCGCGCTCTACATCGAACGCGTAATTGGTCGATTTATATTTGTTTTCTTCATATATACATATGCATCGCGCAGCTTAACGATCGCTGGCCAACCGGACGACGCTTTTTTATCTCACTTGCGTAATCAGTGAACGTGAGGAATAACTAATTGATGTGTTACATCGCGCTATTGTAAATATTCATAGTTTGCACTTGAACTAGAGAAGAGTATTTACGTACTTTGCATATCCAGTAAGCAAGAAACATCAATAAACATTTTAACTGTATTGCATTAACGCCACAACGTTGTTGCAAGTGTAGTTGAAACGTTTCTTGATGTTTCTCGCTTATTGGGTATTGATGTATTTATGAATGACGTTACTACCTTTGTTCTTTTTTATATCTATGAGTTATACGGAGTGTTTCCTAAGTGCAAAAAATTGGAAGGGAATATTCCGTAGCTTATTTCAGGATGAAAAGATCCTGTATATTGCTATCCTTTTTCTTCTCATTTTAGCACACGTTTGAGATGAAATATACATTCCCTGAAACGTGAATATTGATGAAGTAAAAATGAGGAGCAAACTCGTATGTATAATAAAATACTGTAAAGTGATCAAGGGCCAAAAAACAAACAAACAAAATTTTTTTATGCTTTAGTTTTGCTCGTTTACTGGCTCTTAATCATTTTACGGTATGTGAATATTGATTTAAAACGAAATGCAAATTAGTGAAACGATATTACGATATATACGCATCGACTCGACCGAGTTCCGAATAGAATTAGGTATCTGTTTCTCATGTTACACCTGAATACACACACAGGACATAATCGTATACTTTTATCCAGGTTATCTGTTAGGTTAGACGTGATTCTTGACGCGTTCAGAAAATATTAGATATTTGTACCAAGCAAATATATCGAAGGTTGGTCCTTTCTAACGTCGTTTCTCTGATCTTGATCCCAGGGGCACGATCCTATGCGCGATCTCTCGATCTTCTCCGACTCGCTAGGCTCGCAGCGGGCAGGGATCCGCGATCACACGCGAATACGACTATTACGACTCTTCTTCTTCTTCTTTATTGGCCTGTGAGCTGTACAGCTCTAAAATGGCCAGGCCAGGACGAACCACTCGTCAGGGACGCGAATACGACGACTGAACAGTTGACAGTCCGCGTTTAAAGCCCCTTGCACAATAGGCGATAGCGATAGCGACAGTGACAAAGGTATAGCTTTGTCGGCAACCTTGTCGCTGTCACTATCGCTATCGCTATCGCCTATTGTGTGTGCAAGGAGCTTATAACACTTTTGACTTTTGACAGCGCGACAAGAGGACAATTGAATTGAACTTTCGGCGAGTCGACGAGCGCTCGGATTTGGCGGGAAAGCCGTTCGCTCGCGACTCGCGACACGGCCCTTTATCGGAGGAACAGGAGGGAGGGGGAGAGGATGGAAAGCGCGGTTCCGCTTTCCGCTTTCCGTGTCGCACCTGCCGGTCGCGCCGACGGCCGAGGGACGAGGGAGCCCCTCGCGATTTCGTAACCTCGAGGCGACTCAGGCGACGCGCGAGATCACCCCATAACGGTTCTCGGACGCAGCTGCACGCGCCGAAAGTCCCTCCGCCGCGGGAGGAAGCCATCACCTCCTCGCGTCCTCGCTTGGTAACGCGCGCCAGGAAGGGAGAAAGAGATAAGAGAAGGACGGAAAGAAAAGAGGAGCGAGACGCGCAGGAGGGACGGGTGGGTGGCAGGGGGTGGGATTGGAGGGGGAGACGAAGCGGCGCGGGTCGCGGCGCGTGTTGCCAGGTCGCGCGGCGCGGAGCGCTGCTGTTAACGCGAGTGAACGAGCCGATGGACCGACCGCAGCACGGTCGGGAGACATCTACGATCGATAAAGGCTCGTAGAGAGCTGAGAGCCTGAGAGCCCGAAATCGCGTCGTGAGACGCAAAATCGCGCGCGCGACAGAGAGAGAGAAACAGAGAAAGATCAGCCGGCGATCGAGGCGAGCAAGCGATTGAAGCGAAGCGAGCGAGAAAACGCTTCGAGCGAGGAAAACGTCTTTAGCGATTTTTCGCGACGCAAGCAGGACGGTGTCGGCGGCGGCGACGGTGGTAGTGGTGGTGGTAGTGGTGGCGTCGGTGGTGCGCGGCGCCGCGCGATTAATACAATCGGCAGGTGATTTCGCGTCCGCTGATTAAAGCGCCATGTCCCGCGATGGACCAATCAGCTGCTTGGTAAACCGCCGTGAGACCTCGAGTCTGGCCACAGACGAATGACAACAAAAGAGACTGATAGAAGTCGCGCGCGCGTGAGAGCGAACGAGCCGAGGCCCGAGTTTTTTCGCACGCGAGTGTTACCCCCGCGCGGTGAAGAGGTCCCCCCCTCGAGGGAGAGAGAGAGAGAGTGTGCGTGTGTGTATCCGCCGCCGTCGCCGCGGCCCGCTTTTTTTCCGTTTTACCCCCCCGTAGCGCGCGCGTGTAGCGAGTAACGTCGCTTAAGCCTTGGTGGTGGTGAAAGGTGCCGTGAGGAATATGAAGAGGAGAAATGTCGAGTGCGGTAAGCTTCGGAGGCCCTTGAAACGCAACAAGCTCACCGAGGGAATCTACGGAAGGTAAATTCTCACGCGGCGCCATATGCGTACGCGAGTACGCGTACGGGTACGTACGTACACCTACGTCGGGGAATGGCCGTTTCCCCTTCGTAATCAAAAAACGTAACCAAAACCTCCCCCTTCCCCCTCCTCCTTCCTTCCCCCCCCCCCCTGCCTCGTCCCGCACCGGAGGACGCGAATGTTACAGGTCAGGACGACGGCAGTGACATTAATGATGATAACGATGCTGATTATGATGATGATGATGCTCATGTTGACGACGACGACGGTGATGAATACGGCGGCGGCGATGATCGCGCGCGCCGAGTGACGCCGAATCGACGCCGCTCTCGTCCCGCTTGACATTTACCTCCGGGTCAGATATCCTTAGCCATCCGCGTCTCCGTTTTCGGGCTCTTTCTCTCGCCCCGCGGCCTCTCGTCCAAACGTCTCTCCACATACTTATCACATACGTGTGTCTCACGTTCCAATGACTCCATGTGATGGGCCGCGTAGCGGCTTGCGAGCGACCGCGATAACGGAGTAAAACGGCCGCGATAACCGACGAACTTCTCCCTCTCGTTTTCTTTTTCTACTCGGAGAACGTGAGATCTCGGCGTTATGTAAGCTTTCCGTGTGTTTTCGATAACGCCGACTTGTATCTTGTATCGCATATCGCGCGACCCAAACATATTTACTTAATATATTTTGAGAGAAAGGAAAACAGGTGCCTCGCAGAGGCCCACACAATGTAGTTGTATAAAGTATACAGATGTATATCGGTGAATTGTAATTCTGCGAATGGCGAATGTAGCGTACAATCAAAATAATCCACGTTTGTTTGTTTCAGTACCTTGCTCTATCTGAAGTTTCTTCTGCTATGGGCAATGGTGATCTTGGCAGACTTCATTTTGGAATTTCGTTTTGAATTTTTGTGGCCGTTCTGGCTGCTCCTCCGAAGCGTTTACGATTCCTTTAAATATCAAGGCTTGGTGAGTGTCAACGTTGCGCAATTGGAGACTATCGCGCGTACTGGCGTAATCTCACTGTGTTTTTTTTCTGTTTCTCTCTTTCAGGCCTTCTCTGTATTTTTTATTTGTATTGCACTTACGTCAGACATGATTTGCTTCTTTTTCATCCCTGTGCATTGGCTGTTTTTCGCTGCCAGCACTTATGTTTGGGTGCAATACGTCTGGCACACAGGTACGTGGAAAACAAATTTATTTGAAATATGGACAAGCTTGCAATGTCTATCAAAATAATTTCTCATACTGATATGCTCACGTCATATTTGTAGAACCTAGAACACTACTCATAGGAACCCTGATTTTTAATGAATATAAAATAATAATCGAACATTCGTATTTTATACAGATAAAGGAGTGTGTCTACCAACTGTGATGCTGTGGCTACTATTTCTATATATAGAGGCTGCAGTGCGGTTGCGTGACTTGCGTCATATGCCATTTCACCTAGACCTCTGTCGGCCGTTTGCAGCACATTGGTAATAGTTTTATCATTATTTTTGCAGACAAATATAACATCAAAAAACGTTACGCCTCACATATACCTATCAAAATAATCTATTGATGTTTATCTCCAAGTAAATTTTTCTGCAATGTGTATTTCCAGCATTGGCTATCCTGTAGTTACATTGGGCTTTGGTTTCAAGAGCTACGTAGGCTACAGAATGAGGCAGGTTAGTCTTCAACAATCTTACATTGATTTATTGTAAATAAATATATCTGCATAACGCACACTATCACGCTGATATATAATATTTATGTATCTTAACTCATTTTTGCTTTTAACAGAGAAAACAGAAAGACGTGGCAAAGGAGAACGAGTTCTATCTACAATTACTGCAGCAAGCACTGCCTCTAGAGCAACAAGCTATGTCGATGCAGCAAATCCAATCGCAAGTGCAGTCACAAACGCAACAAGTCACTGCGTCGTTAGAACAGCACGTCAAAACTCAAGCACACAAATTGAGTCCACAGTATAACCCAAGTCCTGAAAAAAGCAGAGGTAGCTTGTATTTATTATCAATTACTATCTCGTATACGTGTGTGCCTGTAATTGTTGCGATTACACGCGTTTTAATATTTCTGCTTGGTCTTTTAGAGGGCAATAACAATTCCATAGAAACGAACGTACAAAATGGCGGGGTGCACAATAGTAGCCAGGTCACATCACAAACACAGAGTGCTACTACCAAAAGTACTCATAGAAAATCCTTAGACAAGAGTGAAAAGCAGGAAGAACAGCATAATAAACACAATGTATCAAATAATTCACCGTCGGACAAGAGCGACAAGAGATTTATACACAGTAATGGAAGTACAGTATCGCACAGTGACATACAGCTCATCGAAAGGCTGGGGTATGGTTGATTTTCATATTGAAAAATATATTTCTCTTTAATTACACTTGAAAATACTTATCGATGTAATTTCTTAAAACAGATCTGTAAATGATTTTGACGTAAACGAGGTAGAAAAGGACAAATCTATCAAGGGTTGCGGACACACCACGATAAAATCACAAACGAACGGTTCGGTAACGGGTAAATGGAATAACGTGAAAGAAAGTCGGGATTCATCATCGACCACCAATGCCCAACGGGAGCGTAAGACTCGACAGGTTAAAAATACGAGTGATATCACGGCAGAGCAACAGAAACAGCAAGACGATTATTATCAAAGGTATATCATACGAGAGGAATTTTTCTTTTAAATACATTACTATAAGTTACTACAGAAATTCTGCTGATAATCCCACATGTTTTCGAAGGCACAGATTGAAACTCTAATGACAAATCTGGTATATCACACTTAGATGTCAAATTCTATACCGTCTTGTATCTCTTTGATAGACTTCCTATCAGTTTCTTCAGCATGATTTGTCGTTGAAATAGGTTACTGGTGTGTCGCAGGCTCGAGGCAGACATAAAACGTTTGAAATCAGATTTGCAGTCAAGTCGGCAAATGGAACAAGAATTACGATCACAAGTCAATGTCTTGCTCAACGGAGAGCGACAAGCTAAAGGCGACATTCAACAACTCCAACATGATAATGATCAATTGCAAAGCAAGTAAGTGTATTATTTGTAAATTATTTTTATGACTGCAATTATAACTACGAATTTATATATTTACTTAAAAAATCTAACCACAGTTAGTATTATTTACATTTTAAAATAGTATTTTTAATATTTAAAAAATTAATATTATTTTTCAAATAATATTATTATTATTATTTTAACATAATTTTACATTTCCAATTTTTAATTTTAAACTATATATAAACTATGATGTATTTTACAAATCTGTGGATAATTCTTTTGTCTTGTTTTTTTGTCTGTTGGTATTTGAACAGAAAAAATGTGTATTTAAATATATCTACATAAACTATCCTATTGATATTTTTGAACAGAAAAATTGTATATATAAATATATTTACATAAGCTATTATAAAGGTTTTTTAGTAACTTCAAATTTTATTTAAATTTAAATATACAACATATGTTATATAATTATTTATGCTTATTTTACATATTCTTACGATTTGGATATATACTGGAATTATTAATCATTACGTTCTTTTCTACATGTATCAATATTCAAAGAAAAATTATCATTTGTGGTAGGATATGCAAAAAAGTCATTAATTCTTTTAGTTTTTTTTTTTTTAACATTAAACCTGAAAGTATATAAAAGACATGTGGAACTATAGTTTATATTGTGAAGATTCAATAATTAATTATAAATAATTAATAATTATTATACTTGATATTTATATAAAAAAAAACTTCTTAAATATTAGAGAATTTGCCTTCTTTTTCATACCAAAATTCTCTTGTAAATCCTCCATAAATTTTTTCAAAAAATAACGCAGTATTATTTTTACCATTAGATATGCAAAATTTTGGATTTGGAGGAAATTTTTATTTCGACTCTTGAATAAAATTGAACGAATTCTATAACATAAATTTTAACATTGTAGATTACATGGTCTAGTAACGGCGCGTCAACTGGATAAGCAAACAATGACATCGTTGGAAAAGCGGGTTGCAGAAGAGCGAAAACAACGTAGTGCATGCGAAGCGTCCTTGCTCTCCGAACGAAGGGCACGACGAGCTGCTGAAGAGGCACGCTCCGCGATTCCACCGCCGCCACCTCCGCTTATTAGACAAGAGTGCACTGACGCATGTAAAAGTCGAAGATCTCAAATGGAACAAGACCTTAAAAGTCTGCGCCGAGAACTCAAATTAAAGGAAGAAAGGTAAGAGCATAAATTCGTAAACTGTTTTAATAATAAGATTCAAAATATGAGCAATGCGCAAAGGTATATATGACACGTTGATTCAGGTGTAACGCATTGGAAAACGACGCAGCACGGTTTAAGGAGAACCACAGAGAATGTGAAATTCTACTCTCCGCACTCAATGCGTTGCAAGATAAAAACGCACATTTGGAAAACAGCTTGAGCGCAGAAACACGTATAAAACTTGATCTTTTTTCGGCACTCGGCGAGGTCAAGCGGCAATTAGAAATCCGAGAAGGTACGTAACCGTAATTAAAACAACGCTTTACTCGCGTTTCATATATTTTTGCTTCATTTTTTTGTTTGTTTTTATATTTTAAATTTCATTTTTTTAGTATTTGTAGTATACGATCGAAGGAAGTGTGAACATTTATTAAAGAAAATAGAAACGCATATATTATACTGCACATTGTTATTGCCCCAGCAATGTATGTATCACATATATTTTTTTGTTTAAATCAGGCTTAATCAGATCTCAAGAGAAAGAAATTGAGATGTTGAAAACAAAAATAGCGCAAGATTTAGCTGTGATGCCACAAGACACATTTGGTCCAGCGCCAACCTGTGCGACGTCCAAGCTCCGTTTAAATAGTGAAGTGAGAGTAGCAGGAACAAAAATACGTTCGAATGAAAGTCCGGGGTGTACCGTGTCGAATTTGGATCCGAATGCGACAGCGTACACGCCTAAAAGTTCCCTTGTAGCGTCGACTGAAGCTTAAGGAACTGCAATTCTCTCATCAGAACCCGATAGTAGGATACATCAACTACAAAAGAATGTTTCAAGTTTCTCCGTGGAAATATTCTCATTCAGTTTACAAGTACGCAAAAATATGGATTTATCGTTATCAACTGCTGGATCTTTTCTGTATCCATCTTCTTTAAGACGAGACATATTTTTTATTATATATGGATCCTCCTAATGTAAAAGAAACCTGGAAGTCTTCCATGAGAAACTTCGCGAAACATGTTTTGTATCGTGTCTTGTCGTTTCAAAAAGGAATGGAACCGTTGACATTACTTATGATCATGCGACGCGGCACTGGTTCTAGAATGTCAAGGAAATCCAGTGACAGTCTTAATTTGTAACATTTTATGCTGTAGGTCGATCTTACGGATATATAACAATTTATGAATAACCAGTGAATCATAAACTATTTCTTTTTACACGTGCATA